TTATCCCAAGTTTTTACTCTGAGGAAGGGTCATGGGACCTGTAAAAAACTCTTATCACCAGCTATGGTTTGGACACACAGGTTTGAGGAATCCAACAGGAAATTGGCCTTGGGTTCAGAACCCAGGTTATTGGTCAATAGTGTCTCTTTCAGAATCAGTCCTTAGCTGACAATCGAATGTAAGAGACCACCTTCCTTAGTCACTAAGACCAAACATGTACTTCTTTAAAGTTATGGACACATTTTCAGAAGAAAAAATTTTAGGCATGAAGTTCTATTAGAAATTTTTGCTTGCAAATATTAGAGTTGCAACTCAAATTACCTTATGATTAGAAAAAAAAGTGGGGAGGAGGGATGTTAATTGGCTCATGGACCGTCATCAGGCCCAGCTGGATCCAGGAGCTAAAATTAAATCAGAAATCTCTCTTTCCAACTGTTGATTCTGTTTTCCCATGTGTTGGTTCAGATGACCTCTGTCCATGTGGTCTAAATTAATGACCCTGTTTCAAAGCCTATCCCCTACCTGCCCCTAATCCTGGACAAACGGCAGATAAACAGAAGTGGGAGCAAGAGAGTCACCAGGATCTTAAGACTTTCATCCTACCAGCTTAGCAAACCTTAGAGGAAGGAAAGCATCTCTTTCTCTAGTTCTAGTAAAACTCCAAGAATTGGGTGTTAATTGGATTGATTTGGGTCACCAGCCAAGCCCTGATCCACTGTGACTAGGATGGTAGCTGGTCAGGTCTGTGTTCATATACCCACCCCTTGGATCTAGAGAGGGATTGGGCCCCATGCATATCACATGGATTTGTAATGTGGGAGAAGTGATTTCCCAATGGCAAATTTGGTTCTTACCACAGGGAGGCTGGATGCTCAGCTGTAGCAACGACAATGGTGTGCAACAGAAAGAACAAATGGGATCTAGCCACCTTCCAGATTTTTCTTCTCCCTCTTAACATTTTCCTTTTTTTTGAGGGAGGGTGGGGGAGGTTAATCCACACCGAGGATATTTTTCCATTGATTTTTAGAGAGAGTGGAAGTGAAAGAGAGAGACACGTCAATTGGTTGCCTCCCACACGTGCCCTGACTAAGGCCAGGGATTGAGCCTGCAACCTAGGTATGTGCCCTTGATCAGAATTGAACCCAGGACACTTCAGTCTGCAGGCTGATGCTCTATCCACTGATCCAAATCTGCTAGGGCTCCCCCTTAACATTTTCTGATAGTGATCCCACCTGAAGAAATTATAACTCCATAAGTCTGAGATAGAGCCCAGAAATGGCATTTTTACTAAATTTCCCCAGGTGGTTCTGCTGGGCAGAGTAGTGTAGGAGCTACTAATTAATATAGTAGACAACTTCTTAATTCTTCTCTACTCCCTACTCAACATCAAAAGTGAGTATATGTGCGACTCTAGCTTATATAAGTAGAATTTCCTTTTTTTAACTCAAAGGAGGGAAAAAGAATTAGCTTTATATTTTGAGATTAGGGAGAGGAAAGTCTAAATTAATGGCACTGTTTCAAAGCCTATCCCCCACTTGCCCCTAATCCTGGACAAACAGCAGATAAACAGAAGAGGCTCCTATCAACTAAGATGCTGGGCCAGTAAGCAGGCCCACTGGGGTTCTTCATACAAACAGTTACTCGTTAACCCTCAGGCTCACAGGGCAGGAGTCTGTCGCTGTGAGCAAGGAGTTGCTGAGGCCTGGCTCTGCCTTGGGAAAGATGGTTATCATCACAGCTTGGAGTCAGGCAGGGAAGGCTATGGACTGGAGAGGACATAATACCAGCTAGAGGAACTGGACCTCAGTTAAAAATTGGTTTTAACTTCCTGTCAGTGTTTGCTTACCAGTGAGAAACTCAGGACAAAGGAGATGGATTAGCTGCAAAGGTGGAAGGTGCAGGGGGATGGGCAGGATTAGCCAAATCATCCTATCGCATTCTCTACACCTAATCAGAGGACACTGATCAATTTGCTGCTATTTATTGTTATTTTTCATATCTCTGTCATCTCTGCGATACCTTCCTTGTACAAGGAGCCCTACTTCACAGCATTTCATGTTCCCAGAGTCTAGCCCAGTACCTTGTAGGCCACAGTTTCTTGAGTAGTATTTGCTAAAATTGATTTTTAAATTTTGCAGAACAATTTCTCAAAGCCCTTGAAAAATAGAGCTAACCCTACGTGAAGCCTCTGGAGCATTGGAGAGATAGCAGGTGTGTGATGAGTAGCTTTTCCCCTGAAAAGCACAGTCAGAAGGGGTGAGGGTGGGGTGGCCAGCATGGTGCCTGGCACGTAGCAAGTACACAGAGATTCATAAAATTAATGAGGCATGTGGTGGGCCAGAGAAGAGAACGGTGCCTGACACGCTGTTAGGTCTTTATGACCTCAGGAATCAAATCCAGCAATCCCCTAGGAACAGTCTGAGTAACAATTGCCATCAGCACAATAGCCAAGAAGAAAAGACAGCTATAAATTCCGGACTCAAAAACCAAATGAAAAGAAATTTTAATAGTACCCTGGCTCATTAATGAAGAATATTCTAGTAAGAACAAAAACAAAAAAATGAAAAAGCATGTTAATGGTACAGATCAAGCAAACCTTCCTTGCTCTGTAAAAATAATGATGACATATAATTTGTAATAACTCACATTTTTTAAACACAAGCACCATATACATATAATATATAAGCATTGAGAGATTAAATAAAATCTTACAATAGCCCTGCGATGGTCCACTTTGATAGACCTCAGAAGAATTAAGAAACTTGCCTCAAGTCTCCCAGCTCATGAGTAGAGGAGTTGGATTTGAACCCAGACCTGCAGCTCCAGAATCCACATAGGAACTCCCATACTGTCTTTCTCTTAAAAAGACAAATGTTCTCTATGCTATTTGTGAATGAGTCAGATCTTTTTCTGGCCCCTCCCTTGATTAACAAAAAATCGGCCATGAGTTCCTTGTTCAATCCCAAAGGAGAACTGGACCCCAGGGCTCAGCCTCTCTCAGGAGTAGGCTCCTGGAACTCCAGGGGCCCTGAATGATTTCTGAAAGTCAAGACAAGAAAGCTCTCATGGTCATGGCTAGTGTCTAGGGACCAGGTATGATGGAGGGTTTCTTGGGGGCCAGATGAAAGTGAGCTTGGGGCCACAGAGATGAAGGCTGTGTATGGATC